AAGAATAGTTCCTGCTCCAAGTTTCTGTGTGAAACCTTTCTTTCTGGGCTGGAGTTCAGAGAGTTGATCATCTCTGCTGCTGGGCTCTGTTAGTAAACTCTAGGTAGCCAGTCTGCAGAGAACCACATAAAAAAAATTGGAGTGTTGGTAGATACAGAAATTGTCTCGTGTTTGAAGCCTAGTATTGGTTAACTGATTATTTTTCTTAGTCATGTGTCTACAATTTAAAAGGTAATTGTCAATTATTTGATTTTGAAGAATGATTGTCTTTATATGTAGACATTTATTTATTTTGAGACAGAGTCACATGTATTCCTGGTTGTGCCACTGTATCCAATTTTATGTGGTGCTGGAGATACAACCCTGAACTTGTGCATGCCAGGCAGATCCTTTGCCAACTGAAGTTCATCTTCATCCTGGTTTTGGAATATTAAAAAAATGCTTTTCTAATTCTTTCCCTTGGAGATAGGTTTTGACCTACCTTCTAAATTTATTATCTCAAATTTTATGAATAAAGCATACATAAATTCCAATTTTGATTTTTTAAAAATCCACTGTTTTAACATTGAGGACATTTTGTACACAGTGCTGAAACACTGAATTTGTAGAAATTATTACCATAAAAAAATTGGAGGTTGCTAAAATAACTATGGTGAAATACAGAGACATAGGAAGGTTTTATTTGGTGTGTGTGTGTGTGTGTGTGTGTGTGTGTGTGTGTGTGTGTGTGTGAAATTTAAACCTGTAGGATAGTAGCAAACCAACTGGGCTTTGTAGAAATGCAGATTTCAAGTAGCTACATTCTAGGTGATACAAACCCCAAGATTAGGCAATGTATTGAGTTTCTATTTTTTTTGTGTGTTCCTATTTTAAAATTTACTTAAATCCCTTATGAAAATATCAATAAAATAAAAACAAAGACAGTGAGAAATAGTCTAACTGTATTCCATAAAGAACTGATGAAAGATTCAATCAGCTTCATGACTATTCTCTGGAAGTCAACACTGATAAAATTAGTATAAGTGTCATTATTCTTAAATGAAGATGGACAACATCACCAGAATCAAGATCCAGAGTCCAGAGCTTTTAAACATCATTGGCTTGAACACAGAATCAAAAGGCCTCATTTCTAAGAAGGGGGATTATTTTGGGAGGCAAAGAGATGAGAGGAATGTAGAAATCAAGCTTTCCTTAAATGTGGATATGCTTGTTAGCTGTGTTGAAAATAACAGATCTTCAATCTTCCTCCAGTGAGGAATCCAGCTACCAGGACATTAAATATCTCACCTCAGAATATGCCTTTGGGGATGTGTTGTCTCTTCATTTTCAGCTTGTAGAAATTCCTTGAGAGAGTACGAAGACTCTGTCCAGGGAGAGACTCAGATACTCAACAAAGTTCCCAACCAAGATTGTCCAAGGTTGGTCATTTGGAATGGGACAAGGAAGGAGCCATCTCAAAGCTTATGCTTCAGCAGTCTTCTGTTCACACAAGAGACCATTTGAGGAAATAATACCAGACGGATTTTCTTGCTTAATTTTTTGTTGTTGTTCTTTTGAGACAGGTTTTTACTCTGCAGCCCATGCTGGCCTGGTATTCAGTATGTAGCTCAGGCTGGCTTTGAACTCATGGCAATCCTTCTGCCTTAGCCTCTTAACCACTGGGCTTATAGGCATGAACCACTACACTCAGCTTCCTGCTTGGGTATTTAAATCTTCTAATTTTGGCAAGATGTGGAGTTGTGTGTCTGTGTATGGAGTTAGTTCTCAGTTACACACTGCTGTAACAAGACTATAACAGGGGCTGCAAGGCAAGCATTGGCTGAAGTGCAGACATCTTGAGGTAGTGGGCTGAATTATATCAAATAGAAGAGTAGTGGTTCTCAACTGGGTCCTACCCTCCTGCTATTTTTAGGAGAAATTTGGCAATGGCTGAATATTTTATTTTATTTTATTTTTTTTTTTTTTTTTTTTTTTTGGTTTTTTTTCGAGACAGGGTTTCTCTGTGTAGCTTTGCGCCTTTCCTGGAACTCGCTTTGGAGACCAGGCTGGCCTCGAACTCACAGAGATCCGCCTGGCTCTGCCTCCCGAGTGCTGGGATTAAAGGCGTGCGCCACCACCGCCCGGCTTTTTTTTTTTTTTTTTTTTTTTTTTTTTTTGGTTTTGAATATTTTATTATGAAACTGGTACTCATAGGGTAAAACATCCCCAAATGTACAGCACTTACCAAGTCATTTTCTAGCCTCCAATGTCAATAGTGCCAATGTTGAAAATTATGTAATGGAGGTTATGGGAACAGAAGCTGTAAGGCTCAGTTTGTTTAGACAACATGGTATTGATATGGATATCTGGTATAAGTCAAGATAAAATGTGGCTGACATTGGACATGGGGGAAGAGGGCTATCAGTCAGCACAAAATGGCTAACACTGAACGTCCAGGCAACTCCACATATACAGTGATGTAATCTGTTATATAACTATTTTTGGCAGAGTGCTACTTTAGTATGATCCTGTATAAATGTGGGTTTAAGGTCAGGTCCCTGATCCCTTAGCCTCTGCTTTTGCCAGCCTGCTGATATACATCTGTCCTAGGCCTGTAGTGTAGTGCAGACACAAAGATGTCAGTAGCAAGTTTGGGACTGTGGTCAGTATAAAGAGGCAGGAAAAGAATAAAGAATCTAATAAAGGAATAAAGAGATTAGTTGAATATAATCTATGTGATATACATATATATATATATATATGTACATCACATTGTGGTTTAGGAATTGTTTTATAATCATGTTTATCTATCTATCTATCTATCTATCTATCTATCTATCTATCTATCTATCTTTCTATCTATCTATCTATCTATCTACTGTAAACTAAGGTGGGACTGCTGAATTCATGGAACCAAATGAGGGGACATGTAGTAGAATATTATTTTAAGGTGTGTTACTTTTGTTTATATTGCATTTGTTTAACTCTGTGAAGCTGTGTTATTGTGCCTGTGTAAAACACTTGATGGTTTAATAAAGAAGTGGCCAGTAGTAAGGCAGGAGAAAGGATAGGTGGGGCTGGCAGGCAGAGAGTATATATAGGAGAAAACTAGGAGCCAGAGAAGAAGGAGGACATCAGGGGCCAGCCACCCAGAGACACAGCAAGCCACAGAGTAAGAGTAAGATTTGCAGAAGTGAGAGAACACGAAAAGCCCATAGGCAAAAGGTAGATGGATAAGTTATGGAAAGCTGGCAAGAAACAAGCCAAGCTGAGGCTGGGCATTCATAAGTAAGAATAAGCCTCCGTGTGTGATTTATTTGGGAGCTGGATGGTGGCCCCCTTAAAAGAACCAAACAACAACAATAACAATGGGGACAAGGGATTTTAATAGAAAACTCCATAATGTTGACAGGAACACTGCCCAATAGATTTTCAAAATTGAGCCGATGCGGAAAAGTATGTGCCACGTAAGGAGAGGGCGCCATGGGCAATGAGTGGGACTGGGTTCAGAGTCAAGAATGCAGCACCACCAACTGTGGTCCCAGTAGATCCATCTTGGTAGCATTTGGGACCCCAGGACCTTGGTATTATGTCGAGGGATTGGTTCTCTACATGGTAAGTGAGGAATGTGACTCAGTTATTTTACCTGCTCCAAGATGGCAGACCTGGCTATGTGACTTTTCAAAGCTTGGGAAGAGCTGGGCGGTGGTGGTGTACGCCTTTAATCCCAGCACTCAGGAAGCAGAGGCAGGTGGATCTCTGTGAGTTCGAGGCCAGCCTGGTCTACAAAGCAAGTTCCAGGAAAAGCACAAAGCTGCACAAAGAAACCCTGTCTCAAAAAACAAAAAAACAAAAAAAAAAACAAAAAAAAAACAAAAAAAAAAACCTTTTGGGGTTGGGGATTTAGCTCAGTGGTAGAGCCTTGCCTAGCAAGCTCAAGGCCCTGGGTTCGGTCCTCAGCTCCGGGGGAGAAAAAAAATAATAATAAAAGCTTGGGAAGATGTTACAGGAACGTGGAGATGATGAAACAAGCCAAATTTATAAAATCCACATCGGTATGGCTTAGGAATCAGTTCTTATAATCATTGCAGTATTTCATGTGTTTGAAAGAAATTTGACATACTGGATACTCTGATTACAATTTGGAATGTATTATTAGGTCTAGCCTCATGACTTTTAAAGACAGAGCTGGTTTATATGGTCAATAGTATTAAAATGCTTATAATAACCAGGTTTAGTATAATTTAAGTTCAATTTGTTGTAAGAATTGCTTATGACAGGAGATTTTGCTGTTTTGGTTTGTAAATCTATCAGGTTTTTGAGGCATCTGAGAGAAACTGGTGTGTATATCAAATGCTGGAGGGAGTTGAATAACTCAATTCATAAATTAATCATTTAAGCTTATAATTCATTTAATCATATTCAAATAAAAAGGTGACCATATATGTTTATATAAAAACATTAGATTTATAATGAGACCTTCTTTTCAATCTTTTTGAGACAGGGTCTCATGTAGAAAAACTGACTTTGAAGTTACTATGTAGCCAAGGATGACCGAGACATTGTGATCCTCCTGCCTCCACTTTCCAAGTGCTGGGATCCCAGGTAAATGCCTCCATGCCCTGATATACAGCACATTTTTTCTTTAATAACAATACTTTCAAATTGACCTCAGAGACAGGTTAACTGTGGTCTTTGGAATTTACCCTTCCAATATATATTTAAGAAAAACCTAATTTCCTAGGAGTATATTTCTTAGTGAAAAAATAAATGACCATGGATATGTAAAAGCTCAGATGAGACCAGTAAACATCCAAGAAGTGAAACCAGCAGTAACTCTGCATGCCCCATGCTGGCTGTGAGTCCCTGCAATGAAACTCCCACCACTGAGTGTTTATTTCATGAGATGCTGAGTGTTATGACTTGATGCAGGTAAGGATCAACACCTCCACCATCTCAAAAAAAAACCAAAAAAACAAAAAAACCAAAAACCAAAAAAACAAAACAAAACAAAACCCCACTGATTTTTGGAGTCAATTGTTTTATTGTTGTTATTTTCACACCGAGGAGACTTAGTTACATGAAGTGTATTCAGTAGGTTGGTTATCAGTAGTAGAAGCACAAGGATGCAGACAGTGGAACATGGAGGAATGCCCTTTATCAGAGTGAGAGCATGTGACTGAAGTACACCACTCCAAACAGCCTATGTACAGGTGCAATCCGAATTCCAGTTATGTACAGACAGAGTCACAGAGTAAAGGACACAGGGTCGCTGTACATCCAGCCAGCCGGTGAAAACTGCTCACAACACACACACACAAAAGGACAAAAATGACTTTAAAGTGCATCCAAAGGAGTCTTGAGGGCGTGAAGATAGGGGCGGAGATGTTTCTGTAGAATCCAGGCAAACAACGGCAGTGTGAGACCCTGACCTCCCCTAGGAAGATCCTTCACAAAAATGGCATTCTGATATGTTTTAATCCTCCCAAAATATATTCATTAAAAATTCTAAAAAATCGTTTTTATTCTTTTGATTGGCATAGTTATTGTATATATTTGTGGGGTGGAATAACATGACCAAATCTGGGTCATAGGTTCTGCTGTAGTGCAAGAAAAAGGTATGGTTGGCAGTAACTATACATCTTAAAACAGAAGATTTTGTGTACTTTTGATATTTTTAACATAACCCATTTAAAAGACAGGTTATATCTTGTAGGGCATATATCTATGTTAGAGTCAACATTAATGGTATTTTCTGTTTTAAAAATATGCAAATAATAAATGCATAACTTATCTTTTTTTTTTTTTAAATACTAGCAGTGGCTTCAATGAACTAGGAGGGTAGTGTTTGCTACTCTTACTTTTTTGCTATTTTTGAGACAGGGTCTCATGTAGCCCAAGCTGGCCAGGAGTTTCCAATCCTTCTGCCTCTATCTCTGCTGTTCTGGGGTTGTAGGTATACCGTCACGCCTGGCTTGCAAATCATATTTTCATGCATCTCTCTGTGTCTGCATTGTGAAGAGAGAAGGAAGCTGTTGCTTATGGAGACTTGAGAAAACGAGATTGGGTACAGGGACCACGAAGGATTCTATGCAGAGTGCAACAGAAACTCTCTCTATTCTGGATGGACAGTCTGACTCTTCGAGAACCTTCGACCCCCAAACAGCCGGTAATAGAGGAACATCACTGGCTCTGCATCCAGACATCCTTTCTTTAGGGCAAATTGTCTGGTAAAGCCTAAGATTGATGAGGTTGTTCAACTTAATACTCGGGCTTATGTGGATGATTTAGATACCCTGTTGTGGTGGATTGTTCCGGGCTATTTTGCTCCGGTTAGTCATTATATTAGCTTTCACTCACATTGAAGGTTTTAATCGTGGGCACATCTGTGTATGTATGTGTGTAAAGAACTTACCCTCCCAGTCAGAAACTGTATTGTAACAGAAGCAGGAAATAAACTGCCCACTGCACTATGAAGCCTGTTGTTCTCACTTGTTCTCCCAGGGACACGGAAAAATTTAGGGATAAGATGGTATCAACAGGTTGTATGTCTGTCTGCCATTTTTATAAGGGAACTTCTTAGACCCATCATATATTTATATAAGAACAGAAACACTCTAATTTTTCCAGGCATGTTTGCTAATTATCCATTTCAATTTCCATGTGGATAAATCTTGCTTTACACAGCAAACGGATTTCAGAAAAATAATCTAGAATTTTTAAAAAGGAAGTATTTTCAGTGTGGTAGTGCAACTTGCTACTTAAAGAAACCATGCAATAAGCTACTTTGAAAAGGAAGAATGCTTCTGTGAAACAAAGAATTTCATTGATTTTGCAAACAGTCTGATTAAAATACACACCTAAAAGTTTATTAGTAGATTAGGACTGTCTAGAAGAGTAGTTGTAAGTAATAAAAAACAGAACGGATAAACTTCATTTTACAACGAACACTACATAGAATGACCCATGGACTGTTCATTGACTATATTCAGACGCCCTGAATATATGCATTATTGGTATTTTATGGCTTTAATTAAGACAATCGTCTCTTATGAAATACTATAAAGTGCAATATTAAAAAAATTAAAAAACCCAAAAGGCATCCATTGTCCTTCAGTTTTATCCTGATGATAAGAATTGGAGATTCACTGAATTAACTGGCAAGGAATTCTCTGCCTCAATTCACACATGTAGTTCATTCTGGAAATGATTTTATTCTGGGATTCAGACCTATTTCACTTTTCTCTTGTTTGTGTGGGTGTAATATGATTTAAGACAATTAGTACTTTCTTTTGGCTAGCTGAGTGCAGACCTTTCAGCACCCAAGGCCTTTATTACTTACATATCCATTATGAAGAAATTGCAACCCAAGAGGAAATTCCCATCTTTTGTTGACCAGGTTCCTAGTCAGGAAGTGTCCTTACTGTTTCTATCAGCCTGCTTTGTGGGAAGTAAATGTACAGTGGGGCTCATAACAAGAGGAGCTTTAACCCTTTTTCTGACTTCCCATTTGAAAGGAGAATGTTACTTCCTCTCGGTAATCAATGCAGGCAAGCATAAACCCAGAGTCTTGGGATGATCTAACATGGCTCCCTTCCTGTCTTCTTTGTGGCTATGGAATGAAGATGTAAGCGATCTTAACCTCACCAGCACTCTATGATAATGCTGTGACCAGTGTTCATTTTGACACCAGACAACCAATTCCCATTGGTACCACATTCAGGTCTACTGGTCCTTGGAAGGCATTTATGCTATTGTGCTCCTCTGTGGTTGTGGATTTTGCCTACCATTCAACAGCAATCAGAATGGTCTCCTCCAGGGAGCAGTCATGCACAGAAAAGTGTTGGGGGTAAAGGTCTAGAATTTTTGAAGATTTACATTGAGGAGGAACAGGGACAGCAGCAGAAAGAAAAGGAGAAAGAGAGAAAGGAGGCAGTAGAAGAGGAAAACACCTAAATAAACAAAAAAATTCAAGGACACTTCTGATGAAAATAAGTAGAGGGTCCCACAGTAGCAACTTTCAATCATGTCATAGATAAAGATCAAAAAGTGTTCAAATGCAGTTGACTTCTGCCATGAAGCAAAAAATGGGTAAAGTCATCAGCCGGATGGTCTTTGGGTGGAACTGGATGGGAACTTTTCTGACCTTGAGTATACTAGGATCTCTTTGCTGACATCCCATGATTTAATATTGGTGGTCCTTTGTACTACAGTGACCAGCAGACAGATTCCCTTACTGGAATCTGTCCTTGGTGGGAGCCCACACACGTCCGTGGCACTTTTCCATCCTCAGGTGTTTATTAATTTTCCAGTTCAGCCCATCAGTGTTTTAGGAAAAGTGGCATAGGCAACACGCTTTGCCATTCAATCCCTCACTACACACTAATTTGAGCTTATCTACCTCAACTTTCAGGACTGGTTTGGTCTCTCAAAACCCGGCTAGGTCATGTATTTGTTAGTCCTTTGTGGGGCCCTCCCTCCCTCCCACTCTTTCAAGAAAACCCATTAGCAAGATTAAAGACTTTGGTGACATTTAGGTAGTTTGGAGCGAGGTTGATTGTCCATGTGTGAGAAAGGCATGTGGATGCATGCTGTCTGGGAGGTCTACATGGAAGGCAAGCCACTTCCAGATGTAGTAAACATGAGCTCATCTGTGATTCCACAGAAGTCCATGTCCTCCTGCTGCTGAGGCACCACCGCCTATGTAGACCCAAAGTGCCCAGTGACATGAAAGAAATATTTCAAAGGTGCAATAATATGTATTGGATCTAAGCTGGCTGTATTTCCTTTATTGCTTTTCTTGTTGGCTATATTTCAAAGAATATGAGGCTGTGAGATTAAAAAAGCCCACAAAGATCCAGAGGCAGGAAACTAAACTCAGATAGACACTGACTGGGCCAAGGCACGGGAACCTTCTTCCCTGAGGCCTTCTTGGCATGTGGTTTTTCAAATAAACCTAGGACATGTATAGGCTCTAGTAATTGATTAAAAACGTCTGCTATTTGTAACCACTTTAAACATCACAGATATATTTCAATTGCTTTTTTAGGGATTCTATTACATGTAAATTATTTTCTCATTTCCCCCTTCTGATTTTTATATTTTTCTCCCAATCTCTCTTAGTGGGAAAGCCTTGCCTGCTAATTGAAGGAAATGTTGTGAGAGAGGCAGGTGAGAGAGGATGATAGCTTTAAAAACTAATAGGTCAGGTGAGTATCTACAAATGAGTGACAGCTTTTCTGTCTGTAACATGTTACTTGTTGGAGTCACAATCTTTCTGGGAGCAAGGAAGCATAGAATGTGTGTGTGTGTGTGTGTGTGTGTGTGTGTATCTGTGTGAAAACCCACTGAAATTCTCTGAAATGCTTACATTCAAACAAGCATCAGACTCTATCAAATGCTTCAATGCAATTCTTTCAATAGAATACCTCCAATTCCATCTTCCCCTCTGTCTGGCCAGTAGCTCTAACCATTGTCTCTTCTGTGATCAGCCTTCTGTTAAGGTGGTCTGGGTGTGGACAATCTTCTTTTATAGGCCCCATCTTCCTTCACCTTAGGTCAGAGAAGTATTTACAAGATGCAGGAAGTGGTGGTGGTGGTGGTGGTGGTGGTAGGGAGTCGGTCATTTCTCTCTGGCCAGGAGCTGATGTATGCTAACATTAACAGAAATCTGATCATCAAGACAGTGGTGTTTTGCTGAAAGGCCTCTAAACCACCTGACTCATGTCTTCCCTAGAAAAGAAATTCCAATGGCCGCTGTCAAGTGATACCTGTCAGGGGCTTTGCAAAGCGTTTTCCTCGAATATGAAATGGTCCTTGCCTCTTTTCATAGCACTTTAAAGTGAGACATCAGACATTCTGCATCATCTGCTGAGCTGGCAAACAACCTTGTCCCTGAATCTCTGAACACCTACTCTGTTCTGCTGACACCGCCTGGCATGTTTAGGTCCTGGGAAGTTGAATAACACCATTTAATCTCATGCTTCATCTCATCAGGAACTGCCTGGGTCCAGAGGGCAGATGGATATGTCAGGGGTATTCTTAAATGCAAATCTAGGAGCTTCTATTTTTAGAATCCCTAGTCTGGACCAAGTTTCTCTCCTGTTCCAGGGTTGCCTAGGGCTAGAGGAGAGGTGTCAGCAAGCAAGACCGGCTTGGGTTTCTGTGAGTAAATGGACATTTGGGTACAATTCCTTTATTTTAAAATGAATGGTAAATTTTGGCCTGAACTTTTGGTATTATTTCATACCCTGCTCCAGAGAAGCAAAGAGATAGCAGTCTAAAATTTTCTCCCATCCCTCTTATTGCATATTTTTGCCTCTCTGTAAGCATTAGGGATACAGCTGGAATATCTCTTATACTCTGGGGGTTGGAATGTTTGAGTGGCATGTAAATGTTTGTGTATATGCATAGAATAAAAAACCGTTTAGTTCATAAATGTTCACTTTGGTTGGTGGGCATGACTTTCCTTTCCCTTGGCTGTCAAGTTTGATGCTCTTTGCTTTGGAATTCCAAATGTGATTGAGCCCAAAGGGTGATGATGTAATTGATATTGTATGTCTGCAGATCTGGTACACTTGTACACACCAATATGCAAGAAAGAAATTAGAGAGGATCTGAAACTAGCATGTAGAAAGCAGTTTTACAATAATGTGAATGATTCCAGGTCAACATATGGCCACATAACCACACACTCCTCAGTGAAAGCAGTAAGAGCCAGCAGTGGATGGTGCCTGAGCACCATTCAGTGAGGGGCGCACTGTGGAGGTAGGGACTGGTGGGAATGTTGTCTTCTCGAAGCAACTTTTCATTAAAGACCATAACACTCCCTATGAAGCAGAACTCCCAGCTCTTAGGCACCTGGGGTGCTTCCTGGCTTCTTGGGGAGGAGGTAAGGGGAGTAAGCATGGGAATAGTAATGGCGGGACCAGACATTCTGTGATCTTTCTTATTTTACAGTCTATTTGTAGTTGGTTAAAAAAAATCATCCATTTTAAGCAATAAACCAACTAGAAATCAGAATTTATCCAACCATCATCATGTAGCCCAGACAACAATCTGAGATTTTAAAACTGAAAACTCACTGTTCCTTGTCTTTCTAAGGTAGCAGCATAAATGCTTGCTTCAAACAAACTCCAACCCTTGATGTGGGTTTCTCTCTCACCATTGAAAATTGCCAGCACTCAGGGAGGCAGAGGCAGGCAGATCTCTGTGAGTTTGCAGCCAGTCTGGTCTACAGAGTGAGTTCCAAGATAGCCAGGGCAGTTACACAGAGGAAAAAAACAAACAAACCAAAAATCCAACTTTGCATGGTTGGAGAGACTCGAAAGCCAGTTTCTCGGCTGGCAGACCTTTTGATATCTTGTGTTCTCTGGGGGCCCCCACTTTGAAGTACCTTTTGCTTATGAGTGAAGTGGTCTTGGGCTTGGTTCTCCCTGTTGTTGCCATGCTCTGTAAATGAATGGAGGTTCTGTGGAGGGGATGCTGAACTTGATCTGGGGTGTTGGGTTACCCCACCTTTTTATTCAGCTTTGAGTTCTGCATCCCTCCTCCCTGTGTTAAATGATGTTCACAACATAGTCAGAAAAGGCACAGTGACAGATCAGAACCTGAATGCATGATGACATTCTCCACGCATGGTGTGTGCCAATTTACATGCAGGGGGTCACCGTCTATTTACTTTTTCAATGAACTTTAAGGAGAAAGCATGGTTTAGGGAAATGAAAAACTCTGCATATTTTTTCAGTTTAGTTTGTCCTGCTGCTATCAACCAGTCTCATTTTCTACTGAAACAGACCAGAGACATCACACAGGATGTCAGACAGAGCTTGCGGGCACTCAGGGAATGAGATGGTCCAATGTGAAGCTGAGCAAAATCAGTAAATCATAATATCAGAGCGACGGCTTCAGAGCAGCATAAGGAAACTATGGAATTCAGTCTCCAGTGTGCTCGGAACACTGGAGTTCCAGATGGGGTTATGATGGGAGGAAGGACATGAATGTTGCAAGGGTCTACACCAAATTCATGACACAGGACTTGGAAACTGTTCTGGGGGGGTAAACGGGTAAATGCCTCTGCAAACAAATCCAAACTGCCTCAATCAAGCACTGTCCGCCGTTAGTTTAGCTCTCTTGGGAATGATTCTTAGACTGCAGCCCTTGGTGACCACACTGAGAAATGCTCTAAGGAGCTATGCCCTTAGGTTCCCATCAGTGGCAGCTCCCACTGAGCACCTCTGCTGGACGGTGTTTCTCAGCACACATCTCAGCTCTCTTGGCAGGACTTTGGACTGGATGTGAGCCCTTGGCATTAAAGCATGTCAAATGACAATCATGGCTAAGATCGCCCTTGTTCTTTTGATGATAATGGGCCATGCACTGGAACAAGGTAGGCTCAGTTTATATAATTTTGCTGTCCTAGAAAAGCACTAATTTGGTTTTTCATTCATATCATCTACTTGCATGCTGGGGCAATACAAGAAAAAGCAAAACAAAACAAAACAACCTAACCTTCATCAGTTCCCCTTTGGTTACCACCTGGTCTGAGTTTTACCTCTGTCTTAAGGAATCCCATGGGTCTCAGTCAGAGCATCCCAGTGTGGATGTGCAGATAGGTTCTGTTTGGCTTGTGAGAGTATTTTAGAGGTTCTAATTGGGGCTGCTACAGAGTCCCTCTATTAAGCCCTCCTCTCTGCAAACTAGTAAACTAAACTTAGTATAGCCAAAGCAGCCTGGAGATCACAGCAAAGAACGCTTTGCCTACTGATTCTGTTAATTCACCTTTTGCACTTGAGAGGCAAAGTACAAACTGAAGGTTGAAGGTTGATGCCCCTCTTCAAATAGGTACCATAAATATGCTAGAGCTATCCCTGAAAAGATGCATTTGCACTTAAATATATATGTCTTTTTATATATATATATAATTTTTCTTTCTGTTTGTGTACAGTTATATATTACTCTATAGGTATAGGAGGAGAGGTATAGTACAGAAACAGGCAGGATTTGTATGATCATGTGTATATATTTATAATATTTATATTTATATGTATGTATAGCCTCTGTCCTCTTTTGTGTCATCACAATGAACGTACCTCCGACCAGCGAGGAGTACCTGTCAGTGGTGATGGAGAGATGGTTCTCTTTGTCTCTTATATGGAGTCATTTCAGCAGGCAAGGGTGAGTTGCCTGTGACGTGAATGGCCCCATGAGAATCCATCCTTCCTCTAACTCTCCAAGGAGGAACACTGGCCTCCCAAGGCTGTGCACAGGCTGCCTCTTCTCAAGACAGCAAGGAGCCTGGAACCCAGAGCCAGGAGGGACCATCCATGCTGTTGGTTTAAGATATGGCTTTTCCACTAGATGGAGACAGGGCACTCGAGCACTTTGTCTTCCAGGAGGACACTGACCACCAGGAACACGAAGTAGAGGCCAAACATGATGAAGCCCAGTATTTTGTTCATCCGCCATTTGCAGAGGGCGATAGAGAGGATGACGAAAAGCAGCATGATGAAGAGGAGGACGATGGCGCAGAAGAGGCCGTTGCTGCTGACAGTCACTGGCTTGAATCTGTGGATGATGGTGTAGAGGAGCCAGGGCAGTGGCAGCCTGTGAGGAAGAAAGGCAGGCAGGAGGGGGAGTAGAGAGAGCAGTCAGGTGTGGGGTGTAAGCGCTAGAAGATGACTGTCCATGGCTTAGGAGGGTGACACTTTTGGGTCACTAGGACAAATGACTGGCCCAGGAGAGTATGGAAAGAAGTCAGGAGGACCTTGTTCTCTGGTGGACTCCCTCAAAGATGTGGCTGCTACAGGTGACGTCTGAATTTGATTCACGTCAGTTTTTATTTTCTTCCCAGGGGAGATTACAATGTGCTCCCAGCCCTGGAAAGGTGAACCAGATTTGCACGGGGTGAAGGAGGAGAGGACAGCAGAAAAAAGGTATAGGAATGGGCAGGGACAATGGAGAAAAGACAATCTAACCTTTAGAATGGAGACAGAGAGGCGAGGACTTCTTTGAGAACCTAAGATGCAGTGAGGTTGCATGATGGTGGTGGGGACCAAGGTACAATGTGGCAGTCTGAAGTTTATTCTGGGAAAGATGCTGACCACCATTTATTAAAAAGGGTCTTGGGCTGGGTATAGTGGTGCACGCCTTTAATCCCAGCACTCAGGAGGCAGAGGCAGGCCGATCTCTGAGTTTTGAGGCCAGCCTGCTCTACAGAGTGAGTTCCAGAACAGCTAGTACTACATAGTGAGATACTGTTTCAAACAAACAACAAACAAACAAACAAACAAACAAATGAGGGTCTTATATTTATGACGAATTAAAACACTTTATTATAAAATTTCCTACCAATTTTCTTGCTTTGGACTGGCCTCTGAAATCTGACAACACCCATTGTTGCTAACCAGAGTGATGTCTGTGGCATACACCAGGATGAGTCGTCACTGGGAACACACAGGAGTTAGAAATATGGCTGGAAAAAAATACCTGGTTCCAGTGGTGTGCTGCCACCTGGAGGCCGCTCTGTGTCATGCAGCCAGGTACTGATGAATATGGCTAGGAAGGTTCAGTTATGGTTCTGGGATGTGGGGGAGGAAGTAACCTTTTGAAACCCCAAATTTCCTAATGGAAAAGCAAATAGGATGTAAGCAGGATTTCAAAAACAGCCAGTAGGTCTGAGAAAAAATGTGTGTGAAACTAGAGCCCATGTTATGTAAGTATTTTTGAATTCCCAGGGCTAGCACATGCAGACCCTTAGGGTCTTTGCTGCCTCAGGCAAGGCACAAATGATTGACATCATGGCCTGTGATGACCAGCACAGGTGCTTTGCTACTGGAGCCTGGGTGGGAGATGCTTACTTCAGTGGATCTTGCTGGGCTGGGGGAAACCAAAACACTTTACCCCCACTAAACTCTGTACTACAGTTGGATCTTGAGCATCCCCTAAAGGCCGTCTGTTAAAGGTTTGGTCTCCAGCCTGAGGCTCTTAGGAGGTGATGGAATCTTTAGGAGGCAGGATGGAAGGAAGCTAGGTCACTGGAATCATGATCTTGAATGGGATTTTGGGACTCTGTTTCTGTTGTTTTCATGGCTACCTGGCCACGAGGTGAACAGGCTGCCTCTGCCATGCCCTCCCACTGTGATACACTGGCTGCCCAAAGCAAGAGGGACAAGAGGCCGCAGGCTGACACTTCTGAAGCCATAAGTCAAACCATTTCTCCTTCAAGGAGACAGAGTTTAGATATTTGTCACGGGGGCTGGAAGCTGACCAACCCACAATCACACACATGCACACATTCACAACTGATCACAGGGGCAGGGACCTGAGCTACCCACAATCACACACATGCACACATTCACAACTGATCACAGGGGCAGGGACCTGAGCTACCCACAATCACACACATGCACACATTCACAACTGATCACAGGGGCAGGGAGCTGAGCTACCCACAATCACACACATGCACACATTCACAACTGATCACGGGGGCAGGGAGCTGAGCTACCCACAATCACACACATGCACACATTCACAACTGATTACGGGGGCAGGAAGCTGACCAACCCACAATCACACACATATACACATATTCACAACTGATCATGGGGGCAGGGAGCTGACCAACGCACAGTTACACACATACACATATTCACAACTGATCACAGGGGCAGGGAGCTAACCAACCCAAGTCACACACATACACACACGCACAACTGATTTTGGTAAAGTTGAGGCGGGTGGCACTTCAGATAGTTGGTGAAAACTCTTTTTGGAGAGTGACATTTTCCACACCTCTTGATCTATCAACTCTATTGTCAGTGATCAAGCATAAGGAGAGAACGAGCTGCAAATGCAACTTTAATCAGAAAAATGATCATTTCAGTCTCATTTGAGGAAAAAGTTGGGGTCTTTTTTTATAATTTCTAGCAATAAGGAATGAGTTAGATAGTGTGTAAGCCAGTGTAATGTTATGTGGCTATTTAAAATCACAAGCTTAGAGATCAGGACTACTACCGAGCAGCTGAAGGGTGCTTGCCTAGCACGCAAGATGCCCTGGGTTCATAAGACAGATGTGGTGCCTTAATCCCAGCACCTGGGATGTGGAGGCAGGAGGATCAGGAGTTCAAGGCCATTCTCTGCTATATAGGCAGTCTGAGGCCAGCCTGGGCTGCATGAGACCATGACACAACCAAACTACCAAACAACAAACTCTGTAAGCCTTACAGTGCTAATAGGAAAATACTCATGATGTAATTTTAAATTCAGTCTTTCTTTCTTTTTTTTTTTTTGAATCAGGGTCTCACGTGGGCTGACTGTGAACTTGCTATTCGGCCAAGGATAATACTGAACTTCTGATCCCCCTGCTTCCACCCCTCATATGATATCTATGAATTGAAATGCTGGGATCAAATGCAAAGTCTTGTATATAATTTTAATTAAAAATGAATGACACACATCAAATTAGCAACGTAATTTCAATCATGCAAAATGCACATATTTTGAGTGGTTGGTAGATCATCACTGATTTCTATATGTATCTTCTAAAACCCTTATATACTACATATATGTGCAAAAGAAAATGCTGGCTACAGAGAAACTTTACACTCACTATATTGTTAACAACACACTCAGTGTCCTGACAATAAAAACATAAAACTGAACAAATTTTGGAAAAGTCACTTTTTTTGGAAAAGAAATATATAAAATATATCAACACCCATTAAAATATTCAAAATATGTAGTCTGTTAATGCTGCTTTAAGGGATTTATTCTAATGAAATAATTAAAATAGAATTTTCTAAATAAAGGTATGGTGATATATTGTGTACCTCAATAAAGTTCACCTGGGGATCAGAGGACAGAGCCAGCCACTAAATTAGTCATAGAGGTTAGGCAGTGGTGGCACACACCTTTAATCCTAGCATTTGGGAGGCAGAGATCCATCTGCATCTCTGTGAGTTCAAGGCCACACTGGTAACAGAGCCAGGCATGGTGGCACATGCCTTTAATCCCAGTACTGGGAAGGAAGTAAGATGGCAGGACACCGGAAGGCATATAAGGCACGAGTAAACAGGAAGTCTCTCTCTTGAGGCTGAGGATTTCGTAGAGGTAAGAACATGGCTGGCTTGTTCTGCTTCTCTGATCTTTCAGCTTTCACCCCAATATCTGGCTCTGGGTTTTATTTTTTATTATAAGACCTTTAAAGATTTATGTTACATAAAGGTATTTATAAAATCCCTATCATAGCATAAAGCAAGAAGAGAAAAGGTCCATTGAAGACACTGGTTAACCAGGAACACAACAGGATAAAACACCCGGAGTCACATGCTGTGGGATGGCCTGTATGTCAAATGTGTTGCTGATTGGTCAATGAATAAATCACTGATTGGCAGTGGCCAGGCAGGAAGTATAGGCGGGACTAACAGAGAGGAGAATTGAGAGAACAGAAAGCTGGGTGGGAGAGACACTGCCAGCCGCCATCAGGACAAGGAAGATGTAAAGTACCGGTAAGCCACAAGCCACGTGGCAAAGTATAGATTAATAGAAATGGATTAATTTAAGCTGTAAGAACAGTTAGCAAGAAGCCTGCCACGGCCATACAGTTTGTAACCAATATAAGTCTCTGTGTTTACTTGGTCGGGTCTGAGTGGCTGTGGGACTGGTGGGTGAGAGAGTTTGTCCTGACTGTGGGCCAGGCAGGAAAACTCAAGCTACAGTCACAGTGTTAGTTTCAAGGGCTATAAAAGCACTGAGCAGAACAGTGCATGTGGCTGCCGGCTTACTAGGAGAAGCCACTTTGTGCCAGGTCCATGTGGCTTTAAGTTGGAAAAGATAAGTGACCTCCAAGAGAGCAAAACTGAATATTCTCTAAGAAAAATTAGTAAATCTTTGCAGAAGATAAAAAATGAAGGACTTTTGGTAGGAGGACTAGGGAAGATTATGAGAGGCTTTCCTTTGTTCTTATTTATATATAATTTAGTAGCAATGAACAAAGAGAATGTTGTAATATGTCAGAGTATGTACCTTTGGAAAATATGACAAATATGTTTATCTGAATGCTCACAATTGTAGTAGACGTTTTTCCTTTTACACTATAGGACATTCTCCATCCTCCTCCCTCATTGGACACACTCAGGTGGTGAAAATTTTAAGCAGTAGGACTGACAAATACAGTTTATCCCAGAACAACTTCCATTAAAACACACCCATTTATCTGTTCATTCTAGAAGCACTTGTCAGACGCTACCCTGATTAGACAATGGGTTGAGGCTATGTTGAGTTCACTGGAGGGATACTTGAAGGGATCACAGACTGGCAGGAAGAAAGAATCATAATGGGAATACAATATGCAGAGTCTGGAAGAGCAGGAGCCCCTGGATTTGAACAGACTCTGGAAAGAGAAGACAGACTTTCCTGTAGACAGATGAAGGGGCTCCTCAGTGGGTAGAGTACTTGTCCTCAGAGACCCAACTCTAATCCCAGCTACCTTATTTACCTGCTGCATTAGCTCTGTGCTCTCCAGTTTCCATATTCAGAAATATGGTTGATAACACAGAATCCACATGACTGTTGTGTGTTTTAACTTGCTAACTGTGAGCACTAAATGAACAATGACAAATGTATGTACAATGGCTTAATAAAAAGGAAAAAGACGGAACAACATTCAAAATGTTCAATGAGAAAGTGGATGCATTTTAGCGAAATTTCCCGATTCCAGGGTCAAGAGACCTGTCATCCTGGGAGCATAGAGACTCTGTGACTTAAGTTTCTCAGGCGCTGACATTTAGGGTCATTTGTCAACTACTTCTGACAAGTTTGATGAAATGGGAGGGATAACAGAGTCCCTGTCAATCTGGCTCACTACAGATGATTCCTACTGAGAATTCCAGTTTGCTCAGCTAGAGGGAAAGAGCTCATCTTCTGTCTTTCACAAAACCTGGGTTGTCAGCACTTTCCAAGCAAAGAGACAGGATGTCAATGCTGGGCCTGGGTGTGTCCCAAGCTGCCTTTGAATTCAATCTTACCTGGTAGAGTAGAAAAAAAAAATACCATGAAACTGCCAGAGTACCTCAGTCCTACCTGGGCAGTGTATATTCATAATTTGTGGTAAGCACAGTTATGTAAGTGAAATTCTTACTTTCTAGAACATTCTGTATACAAGTATGTGTTTCTGCTGGTTTAGGGATGACTTAGTTTTATTAAGTTCCCTAAAAACAAAATCCAGCTAGTAAAACGGAATGGTGCTCCTAGGTTGGCACTTGGGTGAGTTTTGGGTTGAGAGAGCCAGCTCATGTTTCTACAGCTTCTAGGAAGACAAAGACAGAGGTAGAGCTGCTGTGCATGCTTATAGAACACCATACTTACCCCACAGTGATGTCAAAGATGTTGCTTCCAACAGAGCTGGACACGGCCATGTCCCCCAGCCCTTTCCTGGCCACTATGACACTGGTGATAAGGTCAGGGATAGAGGTTCCAGCAGCCAAGATGGTCAGACCCATGATCTCTTCACTAATGCCGATGGTCTCTCCAACCTGGATATCACAGCAAGGACAAATGTGAGGGGTGGAAGTCACAGAACCCAACTTTACTATGTGACCTCTTTTTAATGAGTCCCCCACTCTGTTTTGGGGTAAGTGGTGATGTAATAAAGAAGAGCAAGCCATAGTCACTGATGAAGGAGTTTATGCACTTTAACATCCATACCCAGGACATCATCGATGTGCACATGAGGCTTAAACAGACTATTTCAAATAATAAAGAGCTGCAGAGACCCTGAGTGCAGCCACCATGCTTTGTCTTCTAAGACTGTTGGGGGAGCTGCAAGATTCATTTGAAAAGCCAATGGACTTAGAACCTAAGGCCAGTACCTGAAAATGTCAGCGAGTTCCAAGGCCCTTCGATCGACTATTGAGTGTCAAGATAGTGTCCCGATTTTTTCTTAATACCTCCAATTATTTCTATGACTCTTAAACACCTATAACCTCTACTGTTTCCACAGGGAACTTGGCATTGGGTGAACTCAGGTTTAGAAATATGAAACTAAACCAACAAAACAGCTATGTAGAACTAACAGGGAATCAGAAGGCCTTGGTCCCAGGGCTGCTTTAAAGACTTGATCAATTGATAATTGTTCCCTGTATAGTGTCTTGACTCCTGCTTTCTTAGCCATCAAGTAGGGATAACAGTACTTACCTTACAAGGAAGTTGTGGGCTAAGTGATAGTTTCAGGAAAGCCCTTGTAAATAGTACAGCATTATTAAAAAGTGAGAAGGCACAGTATTCTATTTTGTTACAGTCTTTGCTTAAGACTGCTGGTTTTGTTTGAACAGTTGGTCTAACCTCAGCTAGAATCTACCCATCCATCCATCCATCCATCCATCCATCCATCCATCCATCCATCTATCCATCCATATATCTACCTATCTATACTGGGGATCAAACTCAGTGCATTGCACATGCTAGGCCAGCACTCTACCACTAAGCCACACATCCAGCCATGGTTTTTTTGAGATAGCATCTCACTGTGTAGCCTAGGCTAGCTTTTAACTTGCTTCTGTTTTTCTGCCTCCTAATTCTAGGATAGTGACTGTAAGCTACCACACATATTTCCTTTGTTTCTTGAGCACCTTATTTTTTTTTGGGACTTTAAAAAACCTTGTATGTTTTCTGGAGCTGGTGAATTACTGTTCTTAAAAATTTTAGACAGTGTTTTCCAATAGCTTACTTTATGACATCCAGGTTTTTTTTTAAAATAATTTAATAGGTAAAATAACATACAGGAATAAATGATTTTAGGGAATAGAATACTTATTTCTAAATCTTCTTTTTGATTTATAAGGACATAATATCTTAGTTCTTGGTAACTTAAAAGCAGGCTTTTATTTTGACAGTTTGCTCCCAAGTCTATTGAGCAGACCCAGTCCTCCAGGCACACAGATTCACTGCCTGCCCCCAACTGGAAGGTAAGTCCCAGGGCAGGCAAAGACACTTGCCACCAAGCCTGAGATCTGAGTTAGATCTCCAGGACCTACACAGTGGAAGAAGAGAAGCAGCTCCAGCAGACTGTCTTCTCTCCACCCTCACACACACTAGTAAACACTTAAAAAACAAAAAGAAGTAATCTACATGCAAGCAACATCCGTACTGTGGATATATTATGTTAGAATATTAGGTCATAAAAATTTGTTTGAGCTGCTGACTTGATTGATTTTCTTTAAAAAAATTGTTAAATGAGGGGCTGGTAAGATGGCTTGGTGGGCAAAGGCGCTTGCTACCAAGCCCGACCACCTGATCCCCAGAGTTGACACACTGGAAAGAGAGAAGTGACTCTGGAAGTTGTCCTCTGACACCCACATATGTGCCGTGGGATGTGTATGCTCCTTTCTGCCCAAATACATAAAAACAATGAAAATAGTTAATTCTATCTGTCTTGGGATTAGGGCAGGATTTCTAACCATTTCTGAAGTAGTCCTAAACATACCTGTGCCATATTGTACTGCATATTTGCATGATGCAGTGTTCTCAGGCAATTCTAAAAATACAATACGATCAACTCTGAAGGACATTGAGGATGCGCTCTGTCCGGCAGCATCACATATTCTGAGATTGAGTTGTTCAGGCAGCAACAACAAGCAAGTCCCTCTGAGGAGTATACAGACATGCTTTCATCCTTAACAAATGGTTAAATTATATACACACACCAAAGAATTGTTTTTAAAATAAATTTATGATTTGTCGTGAGCAAATGTTTGACTTGTGTATTTGTTTTATAGGGCAATACATCTGGGGTTGTGTAAAAAATTTCTTGGGCAAGAAGAATTGTAAGAAGAAATAGGTAAAGAAGCTGCCTGCCATAGCTCCAAGAGCCTACTTGCCGCACGAATGAGTAGATCTACTCATGCTGGTGATTTCCCTAGGCAACAGGAGTGCCCTGTTTGAGCAAAATGCTCTCCTTCCTGCTGACTAAATGATTTTCACCCTAAGTAAGCTGCAATTGATTTGATACATTCTTAATAATTTAAATTCTTAGAGGGAATGCTATCACAGTGACCATTTAAAGATACACCATTGATATTCGGAGTTTGAATGCCATTCCTGGCAGGAGAGTCTAAAACTGAAGAGAAGCATAGTGGTGTGGTTATGGACATGGGTGAGTCTCCAACAGCCCGGGATACCTTCCAAGTCTCTAATGAGGCTAGCTTTGAGTTCCTGATTCTCCTGCCTCTACCTCCCAAGTGCTGGGATTCCAAACATGTACCACTTTGCCTGGCTGCTTGGCCATTTTTCTTGTCAGCTTTAAACTCAATTCCTTTATCTGCATATTGTAGCTAATGATCGTTCGCCCCCCAACCCCCATAGCATCTGAACCTGTGTGCAGGATTGAAAACAAGAGTATAAAGACAAAGGGGTGTGAACGGTCCAGCATGGAGTATACACTCAACAAACAATGGTTTCCACTTTCATCTTTGAGAACAGAAGCCCCCGAGTCTCACTCACTCAAGTTTTCAAGCAGTAATCACTGAGCTCCTGTCTTGGGATCAGCATTATGACTGGCACTGAGTTAAAAGTAACAAAAATGACATGCATCATTACATTTGTAACTGAAGCTCAAGGACGAACGTTTTGTCTTCAGGACCCTTCTTAATAACCATTGTTAAAGGCTGGTGAGGGTTGGGGAGGCGGCTCGGTGGGTAAGAGCAATTACTGCACAGGCGTGAGGCCCTGAGCTCAGATCCCAGGCATGCATGAGGAAAGGCCGGAACTCCAGCATGGGGCTTTGGGGAAGAGACAGGAAGAACACTGGAGCTCGCTGCCTGCCAGCCTAGCTGAGAAATGGCAAGACATAGGTTTAGTGAGAGACCCTGTCTCAAGGTCATATAAGGTATGGAGCAATAAAGGAGAACATGGAAGACTTCTGTTATGCCTATCATACAGACTCACACACCTATGTCCATACATGCATATAACACACACACACACACACACACACACACACACACACACACACACACACACAGAGCTAGGGACAGTCATGCTAAGTTGCTTGCCCAAGACAAAATAAAGACACAGAGGTAGGCAGAATCTTGACTTTCTTCGCAGCCCTGGTTGGCCAGGCTTTAGATGACAGACAACAAGCAGCAGCCAGGTTTGCCTCTCACCACAGAGCTGTCTTGATTTCTCCACATGCTGATTTGATTTCTGACCACCGAGATAGAGGAATAGGAAAACCCAGTCCTGAAATGTAACGTGTCTGCACCACACTCAGTACTGTGACAGTTTCAAAGGGCAAACACATTGACTGACCATGTGACAACCAAGACCGGAGACAAACCCGGCAGACGGGCGCCCCTGGCAGTCTTACCTGGTGTGCCCACCACACCATCAGGTAAGAGAAAACTGCGATCCAAGTGATGGAGCCAAAGAATGTGATAGGGAAGAACTTCCTGGAAGCCTGCAAGACAACCAGAGGGAAGAGCGTCAGCATTGTCCTCTGTGGTGGAGTGACAGTCCAAAGCTAAAGCCGTCTTTGCCATTGCCATGATCTCTCTCACATTTCTTACTTCTTGGTTGAGGAAAATTCACTCTTGGAAATTAAAATTGGTGGGAGCTGAATGGTTGTAGAACTAGGGAAGAAATCTCTCTCTCTCCCTTCATCCCTTTTTCCTTCCCTTTCCCCCATTTCTTTCTTTGAAATAGGGTCTCAATGCCTAGGATAGCCTAGATGGCCCAGAACTCATTATGTAGTCCAGGTTGGCCTCAGATCCTACCTTCCTGCCTCAGCCTCCCATGTTATGACATGCGACACTGTGTTGGGCTCTGGAAGTCACTTGAGAGAATGTCTGTTCATACCTGTAGCTAGATGCCCCATGTCCCCTGCTCCTGTCTTTTATAAGATCTGGATTTTCTGTTATTCCTTCTGTTAAACATTTTGCATCCTCCCTTTATCTCTTTTTTAGTTTGCTTCCAAGTTCACCCGATTCAGGCCATCAGAATTTACTGCTGGCAAACCATGTGTCATGGTAATCTATATGCCAAAACCTCTTATGTGACTGATTACATGAAAAAAATGGGAAGGATTAGGAAGGTTGGAAATAGATTAATTCACCTTAGGGTCCCATGAATTATCAGGAAAGCCACCACCACAGATGGCTGGTGATGGCTAGTCTCCAGGACACCAACCACACCCATCAGCTGAAGTGGACAGAGGTGGAGATGCCCAATCAGGGTGATCCCCACTAGGATGGGGCAGGTCAGACATCATTCTTGGGAATGTGTTCTCTCCAGTGTGCCACTCTGATCTACATTACAAGTCCCATTCTGCTCCCAGCACTGGACTTCGTGTCATCTTGGGCTTATACAGTGTGATCACACTCAAAGTTCCCTTAGATCATCATCAATAAAATTCAGGCACTTCTAAATGTAGTTTTTCAGGGCCAATAAGATAGCCCAGTGGATAAAGGTGCCTGCTGCCTAGCCAGACAACCCATGTCCCATCCCTAGAACCCATGTAGTGAAAGGAGATAACCAACTCCTGCAAGTTGTCTCCGACCACATGGACCAAATAAATGAATGAATGAAGGAATGGATAAATAAATAAATAATACGTGCAGGATTTCTTACTCAATCCCATTCCAGGGAAACTGTGGCTTGCACTGAACTAGTTTCTGCTGATTCCCTTGATGGAAAACATGGGACACACTTAGATAACAGAATGCTGTTTGAGAGCCCACCACCTATTCTTGCCAACACTTTTAATCTCAAAGCTTTTCTATGCCGAGAAAACCACACATTGTGCTTTGATAATGTCACCCAGTTTCTTTCAGGGCAACGACTCCTACAGTTGATGTAGACAGCGGCTGTCTCAGCTGCCTGAAGAGCTGGTCTGGGGCAGTCACAGAGAGGCTACTCTGCCACAGCATTTGAAGGCTCATTGGAAGAAAAAAGAAACTCATGTGTGGCAATCTTTTAAATCTGAAGCACAATGATAGATAGGCTCTATGGTACCAGACCAGGTTTGCAATTTCTGTAAATTTCAAGCGTTGAGTAATCTTTTGATTATCATTCACACAGTCCTTAGACTCTACACAAATCTTTTCTCTCTTGAAATGAGTGTTGCTTAGTGGGGGGGCAATTCACTGGGGGTGACTATAAGACCAAATGGGCATGCTCAAGTGGGAGAGGGCATCATGTCATAGACAAAACTCACCCTTAAAATGCTTCCCTATGCTCCTTCTCTTTCTTAGAAGAAAAGTATTTTGAATAAGGACTCTGGTTTGTCTTGGAGACCTGAGCACTTCAGTGGGTGATGGGAAAAACACTTTTTTTTTTCAAAGTGGAGCCTACACTTTTGCTTCTCAAAGCAAATCTTTCGAAGGCTAGGAATTGGGTTCTCAAGCGAAGATTCCTCCAGCCAGAGAAGATGCCAGGCTTGCCCAGGCAGGGCACTGAACTGACTGGACTTCCCAGCTTTTTTTCCTTCCGATTGTGAGTCACTGTTTCAGGATTCTAAATGGGATGCAGGTTTCAGTTTCTCAGGGTCATGCTCTGTCATAGGAAGAGAAGGGCAACTCTGGCCACACAAGACCACCCCTGACTCTAGCATCAACTAGATGAGGGTTCTGAGTGTGGCATGAGAAGCACAGAGAACTGTTATCTACTTTATGGTGAGACATCCATACCTCATGGAACATCTTTTCAGGCTGTTCTACTTCTAGGTTCATTTACTTACTACATGTATTCTTATTGCTTATTTTCATTTAATACATTTTAAATTTCCTCTTTGCATATCGATTGAGATGTCATTGTTAGTCAGACTCAAAATACTAAGATTTCCTCATATCACTGAACATTCCCAGCCAAATGGACAAAGCCAGAGATGAGACAAAGAACATAAAGACCCAAATGCAAATCAATCCATTAGTGAAAACCTGCCCAATTCAATATCTGATACTTACGATTCTCAAGATACCAGTTAATAATTAATAGGCATAAAAACATCAAATGTTGAATTAGAGGCTTATTCAAAAAACACTAGAAACAAATATTCTTAGTGAATTTCAAGGTCTTCATCATTGACTAAGAGCAGGTAAAGATTTGGTACCTACTCTATATCCAGATCTTCAACTAGAGATGAAATTCAGGTCAGCTGACTACCCAACGCATGTGCCTAACATGTATGTTTTACCAACACTTCCTGAAGAAAATAGGGCCCAAACTGCTCAAAATACACCCAGCCACAGGCAGAGTGAGCACCATCATCATCATGCCAGGCTCTATTCACAACATCAGAAAATAAAAAAAGCATCCAGGAGACAGAGGCCAGTGCTCCAGCTGTACGGCCATCTGCCTCCCCAGACTCCCATATTGTTCTTGCTTCGGAAGTTGCAACCCTTCATGCACCAGCAGTTTGGCTAATTGTTTCTCTGTCAAACTGCCTCACCATGCCCAGTCTCACAACCCAGGAAATCACTTCTCTCACTTTTGTCTAGACCATTCTCCTCATTTGGACTCCATGGTTTCATTCTGGACACCACTGCTCCGGAGCATCTGTATGGGTATTAGGTTACCAGTCTCATTGGAAGAGAGAAAATAGCCCTGGAAGCCATGGTCTAACACATCAGGTTATGGTCAGTAATGGTGGCTCATCCTGACATCTGTTAGGATAGGCCTCATACCAATTAGCAAATGAGCAAATTGTGACCATGTGCTGCCCATTTTATTTCCAATGTAATGGTTAGGTACCTAATTGACAGCTAATGTTCCCATTAGAAGCTTTTAGTAGAACAGTGTGATATTGGTTTGAAAAAAGTCACTGGACAATAGCTGCCTGAGCAAACTAGCCATGTCCTTCTGTTCTAAATTTAATAGTCACTGAGCATCTACTTTGTGCAATGTTCTGAAGAATATACCTTGGGTGAAAGGGATGGGAGTCTTGCTATGTAGCCCAGGCTGGTTTCAAATTTATCATTGCAAATTATCATTTCAAAATTATCATCTATCTGTTTACTTATTAATTCATTTGTGTGTGTGTGTGTGTGTGTGTGTGTGTGTGTATGTGCGCACACACATATGGGAAGGTGCATGTTTATGCATGTATGTATGAAGGTCTGAAAAGAACTTGTGGGAGTCTGTTATCTCCTTCCACCATGTAGGTCCTGGGAATCAAATTCAGGCCACAAGGCTTGTTAGCAATTGCCTTTACCTGCTGAGTTATCTTGCCGTCCCTCGAAGTATATACACTTTGAGACATTTCCCACAACAGCCCTATTAAGATTCAAAGTGTGGCCACTGGATTATGATAATGGGGGTTGAAATCTCTGCTCCCAAGTGAGCAGTGACTTAGAAAAACTAGTTAACCTCTTTAAGTTTTGGTTTCTTCATTTGTAACACAGAGGGGAGGGGTAATACAAATTTAAATGTTCTGAAGAGTCATGTACTCAGAAAGTCTAGCAAAGCACCTGAGACATAAAAAGTGCTCCAGTAATGATCGCTGTTGTTACTGTACACTATTGTCTTCATTGAAGTTTTTAAGAGACAATGAGGCTGATACCTGGGGAGGCAAAGTGACTGTGGATGTCTGGTGTGGAGGGCTCTTGGCTTTCCTCTCAGTAGCTGGCTGTGATTGAACAAACCCTAAACCTCCCTGGGTCACAATCACTTCATCTTGCTACATCATGTATGGCTCCTGCTAGATAATCAATAAATACTCAGTGACTGAATAAATGACCCAAAGTGCAAACCCTTAGCTGGGTGTTCAGGTTCCTTCCCAGTTCTAATGGGCCATGTTTTCCTATCTCAAGAGATACACTCCTCCTTTGTTTGAGCATCCAACTCAGGCCACGAGAGAAAATCGCATTGAGTGTTGTAGTGTTTATTATTTTCAGTTTTCATTAAAGCTATGTTTCACATCAAGGTTTACACTTTACCCCTTTCTGTTTTTGAACAAACTTGTTAATTTAAGAAAACTATAAGTGTGAAGCTCCTATTTAGTATCTAAGCTGAAAGTATGCATGATCCAATAAACATTGCCATAAAATTTGCATAGAAATGATGTGGGAATAAAAACAAGTGGGAGTAATATTTATTCTGAAATTAGAACTATACAATCATGCGTTCCCTGTAATTACTGGTAAGGTTTGGGATTTTCATCTCCATGAAGAATTAAAAAAAAAACAAAAAACTACTGAACAGACAGAGCTGGTGGGTCCTAAGGAGGTGCAAATGTCTGTTTGTTAATTTTCCAGTTTTTTCCCTCTCCCTTGATGTTACCTCCAGGGGTCTTTGTGGACGTACATAGGCCTGTAGTAGTACTGAAAACCCAGTACATTATTCTGCCCCTGCCATCAATAGGTGAGCTCTATTTCTCTACACTTAGGTGTCGGCTGGCTTTAGGACGGCTTCAATCAATAGAATGTCCTGGGAATGATGGAGTACAAATTCCAAACTAGATCTCAAGAGGGTTTTGTAGTTTTCATTCTTGTAGCTCTTGGTCTTTTGCTATCCTGTGACTAAGTTCAGACTAGACCGCTTAAAGATTAGAGATCATGTTGAACACAGACAAGCTGTTTCAGCTGAGACGTTCCTATGGCAACCTGCTCCCAGGAGAACTGTCCAGCTGAGTGTAGCACTAACTTTCAGTCCTCAGAATCATGGGCCAAAATAAGCTTGTCTTAAACTGAGTTTGAGATGGTGTATTACAGAGCAAAAAGAAAACTGACATTAAGAAACAGTTCAATAAAACCCTCCTGTGATAAATATGACCAGGGAATATCTTAATGGCTCCTGTATCTACTGGCACGGTTTATTTCACTTGGCCTCTTGTATGTGCAGGGAGGACCACATAGTTTATCTTCCAACCAGTATGCTCTCAGAGTAAGCTGTGACTGTCACAGGCAAGTTGGGGTGTACAGTCACCTTCAGTTTGCAATATCGTATTGAGGCAGATGTCTTACTTACGCTTTTTCTCAATCACAGAATGCCATGGCTGGTAAGGAATTTAGAGATCTTAGAAATCTTTATCAACAGTGGACAAAAATGGAATTCAGAGAAGTATAGTTTCCCAAAGTTGCTTAGCTTATGAGGTAGGATGGGGGAGCAAACTACCAGAGTCAGGATAGTGGAATAAAAATGATTTGGACTCAGGAGCCTTAGGCTCAAGTCTCCTTTAACTGTTCCTGCGAAATCTTGCTTTGAGTTATATGTAAGTGTCTTAGTCAGGGTTACTATTGCTGTGATGAAACACCATGACCAGAAGCACCTTGGGGAGGAAAGGGTTCATTTGGTTTACACTTCCATTACTGTTCATCACTGAAGGAAGTCAGGACAGGAACTCAAACTGGGCAGGAACCTGGAGGCAGGAGCTGATGCAGAGGCCATGGACAAGTGCTATTTATTGGCTTATTCTTCATGGCTTGCTCAGTCTGCTTTCTTATAGAACCAAGGATCACCAGCCCAGGGATGATACCACATCCACAATGGACTGGACCCTCCCCAATCAATCACTAATTAAGAAAATGCCCTTCAGGTTTTCCTACAGCCCTATCTTATGGAAGCATTTTCTTAAGAGGTTCCCTCCTCTCAGACGACGTTAGCTTGTGTCAGATTGACATAAAACTATGCCACACAGCAAGCATGCCTTGGTTTAATTATTAAACTTAAAGACAGAATTTTGTGTTATTATTATCTATCTCTATATCTCTGGCTGTCCTAGAACTCGCTCTGGAGACCAGGCTGGCCTCAAACTCAGAGGTTCCCCCTGCCTCTGCCTCCCGAGTCCTGGGATTAAAGGCATGTGCTACCACCACCCAGCTGCTACTATGTTCTTTTAATTACAGCAGGTTCATGGGTACTTTGGCCACTCAAGTATAACTGAATGGTCACTACATAACTTCAGAGACAAGGGAACCAAAGACCATGCAACTTCTGCCTTCAGCTGTTAGAATGCTCACTCTTGGAGGTCTGACCTGTTATGTAGGACATTGGGCTATCCTGGGGCCATCATGTTTTAAGGAACCAAAGTGCAGAGACAGGCCATGTTTGGGTACTCTGATAGACAACCTACCCTCAATCCATCTCTTCCCAGGTGCTAAAAACACTAGCAAAGAAGATGAACACACTTCTCAGCTATAAATCACCCCCAACCATGCAAGTCTTTCCAGCTGGAGTGCCAGGCTTAGTGACATGGACATAAACTATCTCTAGTGCACCCCACTTCCATTCTCATCCCACAGGATCTGTGAGCAGAATAAAATGGTGGTTGTTTTACACCCTTAAGTTCTGGGGTGGTTCACATTTGATAGTCACTGAACAACCATTACGATTGAAGCTTCAGCAGGTATGAGAAGAGGCACACATGCATCACCTCACTGTTGAACACACTGGAAATGGACTACAGTGGCTACCATACTTTTGACAAGGGAGCTGTTTCAACAGAGCTCACTCACAGGTTTGCGGACGTCAGGTAAGGTGATCCAGAGCGGGAGTACGATGGGAAGAACAATCAGGAATGTGACCTGCTTGCGGGTGTTGGATGGCCAAGACAGGCTGAGGGGCTGGTCATCCTCTTCCTCAGCAGTCTCTGTGGCCTGCTGCAGAACAAGAGGACAGCTGTAAGTAGGCAGAAACTTGGGGAGTGCTGGGGCCCACAAACACGACTGCAGAGCAGGTGAGGGATGTCCTGGGCCTCACCTGAGTGTTTCCCAAGCCACCCGAGCTGCTCTCAAGGGCATTCTTGTGTTAGAAGCACCCCATTGGTCACAGCCTGAGGCTCACCCCCTCCCTCCCTCCACAGAGCACTGTAGAACTTTCTTTTCATTCTTTGGGTGTCCTATGGCTTCTCATGTTTGTCAACTGATTATTTAACATTGACCATAGTCACTACTCATGATATATATATATATATCCAGCTGTGCTTCTTATTCAACTGTACAAAGTAATGGGTTTTTATGATATTTCCATACACGCATATAATGTACTTTAGTATGATTCACCTTATCCTTTCAAAAAAAAAATCCTCCTTCACGAACATTTTCCGATTTACAATATCTGCTGATATAGTGATCTATGACCCCATTTCTGTTTCCCTAGGGCTGTGTTACGTGATTTGGACTCCTTGGGAGGAAGAACAAGGGTAAAAAATTAAAATCCCTCTCTTCCCCCTTTCCACCCTCTTTCTCCTCTTTTTTCCTTCCCTGCAGCTGCTGGTCACCAGGCACACAAAGCTCAGTTCTGGAACAGTTCAGTGATAATCCTGAGATGTCCTAGCTCTGTTCACCCAAGAATAGACTCAACGATTTTTACATGGATGTTCCTAACTTGCTTAGTCAACTGGGTGAATTCTAAACCATCCCAAAGGCACAGTATACAAACACACACCTCAGGACTCAGAGAAACAGGGCCAAAGGCTACTATAACATCCACCCTGCCCGCCTGGCATCTCAGAGGCAGGGTAGGAACTCCCAGTCTCTGATCTGGCAGCCCGCTGCCTGCGTTCTGGTGGTCTCTGCTGCAGTCAGCAGCTCTCAGGCCCCAGAGGCAAACGAGACAAAAGGTAGATCTGCCCAGCAGGATGAACATTAGTCCATGAGACGGGGCACAGTCACCAGCACAGCACTGGTGACACCACCACATCACTGTCACCCTGCTTGTTTAGAAACGAAGCCACAGCAGCAGGACAGAGCACCAAATCTAAAAACAGGCGCCTTTGCAGTGACATTTCCTTTAGATGCCAGAGAGCGTCCTGCAGGCTTCCAGCACTGCTCGGACACTTTCTAAGCAGCAGCAGTGACTCATTCAAAGTCTGTGTCCCTAAGGAGTGGCAGGTGGGAAAAGCTTGGGCCAGATGTCTTAAGGGAGGAAATACTGACTGGACTATAGAGGTCATGGCTGGGTGTGCAGATTTACAGCAATGCTACTCTTAGTTTATGTACTGCTACTTATTAGGGATCGACAAAAGGTCTGTAATGGTGAATGACATTATCCACCCTTCAACCTTCTCTGGGATCCAAAACAAAACCAAACAAACAATTAAAAACAAAAAACAAACCACGTGATTGAAAGCCATATTGAGAAAGATTGGAAATAACAGGTTTGTGGCAGTGGGTAAGAATCCTCAAAGTACAAATGCGGGAGAATTATGGGGATTAGATAAAGAAGTTGGCAACCTATTTTGGTTACCCAAACCCTCACCAAGCACGTACCTCGCCCCCTCCACCCCTTTTGCTAATGTGATGCAGGAGCCGTTCTATCCACTGTTGTTTTTACTCTTTCCTAGGGACTCTGCCCCTGATCCTAGTCACGTCATCCTTGGAGGAGAGGTGACCTGCAGAGGAAACCATACCCCGTGGGCTCACATACCTAGGGTGCCATCTGGATACAAGGATTATAATCTGTGTGTCATGGGGCAGTGAAGACTAAGAAGGCTGGGGCACATGATGTTTTCTTCCAATGAGATCTTCCTCACGTAACCAAATGAGTGACTTTCCCTTCCACACCTGATAGGCATCCAGGAAATAGGCACCAAGAGTTGAGGTACTAGAGCAGTCTTCATGAGCACGGCATCTCATACCAAGTAGGGGGTTTAATCCAGCAGACGACGGGCTTTCCTGAAGACCAGTCAGTCCATCTGATGAACTCACCAAGCTCCTCTTTCGGCCTGGGTAGCCTCCCCTCCCCGATCTGCCCCCTAATGCCATCCACAATTTAGCAACTTTTCTCTGAACTCCAAGCTACCCTTTTTTTTTGAGAAAAGACAAAAGCAACTCTTTATGACTCATATCATTTTAATGACACCAACAGATGGTGACATTTCATCAATAACCTTTCTGCTTGTAACCTACAGATTAGCTCTTTTCTCCATCTGCCAAAGTCACCAGGCAGGCAGTGCCGCTAGCAAATAGCAGAAAATAATTGTCTGTTTGCACGCCCAAGCTCTCAACACACGACTGTCCAGTGCAAACAATTAGCTGTGTTGAATAAGGTCCAAGGGTGGCGTTGAAGGAGGCTGTTGCTAGGGCAGGAGTGGACTAGGAGAAGAGGCTGTGCTTCAAGCTATGCCAACAGAAAACTTCACTCTTCATGGGCACCAATTGCTGCTGCAGGGAAGTGAAGGGGTCTAGAACCCTGGGATGGATGTGAGAGGTGCTTCAGGAGCAAGCTGTCAGAACACCTCAGAAGAAATTCTTTTTGTCTTCTTGCTAAGTAAATCTCATTCTGGCTCAAGCTGGTTAGAGACACCACAGAAGGACACACTGTTCCAAGTTTAGGGCCTATTTGTCTTTGCCTGAGCAGGTGATACAATGCTTGCATTAGGCTTAGCCCCAAGCGAGGCCATTGAGGTCAGGGCAATGAGTTTTCAACTTTTCTTAGAGTTGTAGCGTGCCAACTTTGACCTTGCAATGACCTACTCTTGCCTCCTAAAGTGTCTGAAGAGTGTCCCTAAGAAACAAGGCAAGGAGAGCAGGCTACAGCTGTCTAAGGCAGAAAGAATCCAAGTGATTTTGAATATAAAGGCTTAACATGGTTTGCTATCTGCTGGGGTCTTGTACAAGCCCCATGGTTTCACAAAACTAGGCTAGTGACTAGATATTTAGGATCGTGTAATCGCTGATATTAAAACACAAAACAAACAAACAAAAAACAAACCTTAGAGAAAAACAGCTTACTCAGACAGGCATGAGGATTTACACCTTTAATCCTAGTACTCTAGAAGACAAAGGCAGGAGGATCTCAGTCTTTAAGGCCTGTCTGGGCTATATAGTGAGTAGCAGGACAGCCTAGACTCACTCTCTCTCTCTCTCTCTCTCTCCCTCCCTCCCTCTCTCTCTCTCTCTCTCTCTCTCTCTCTCTCTCTCTCTCTCTCTCTCTCTCTCTCTCTCACACACACACACACACCCCTGTAACGAGTTTCCCAAGTGATGGGTGCTGCACTGGCCCTCAGATCTAGTGAGATGGGGAGAGTAGGTAGCAGAATCAGGACTTGCAAGCTCCAGTTTCCAGATCTTTCAGGCAGCCTCTTCCATCACCTGAAGATTCCCAAGGGCCTTTAGGTATGAAGCTAATCATGAAAATCTAGGGCTCCTACTTCCAGGGCATCTTGCATTTAAAAGGAGAGGCAAAAACAAGATGATTCCAAATGTGGGGGCCCTGCTTCCCCCCCGCCCCTTATACTCTTGAGCAGGGAGAAGTGAGAATATGTAGATAGAAATATAGAGGAGAGAGACAGTTCGAAACATAGGATAGCCTCGGGAGGGCCTGGATCAAAATTCACCGGCCCCTTCTGTCTCTACTAAAGGGCTTTTAAAGGAATGCCAAGGGGTGGAGCAAAGACCTCCCCCCAGCACAGCCAAGTGCAGACCATCCCAGACACCTGATGACCATGCATGTGGCCAAACCATCCCCTAATGCAGCTCTGCTGTGTAAAGCAAGCTCAGATTTTACTAGCAAGCTTTTGTGGGCTCCCACACCCAAAGCACTGACTGTTGGATGCTTGCCAACATGGAAGGAGGATCTCCTGGGGCCCCACCCATAGACAAAGAAGTACAGGCAATTAAGAAAAGCTGAGAGCGGGAGAAATAGCCTTCTCCAGGTGAGCTCCCTGATTGTTATCCAATACCAAATGGTCACCCCTGAAATCACAAATATACAAGTGACACTAAATGGACTGAACAAGTTGTATTTATGTGTTTATGCACACACATAAATATGTAACAACAACAAAGAAAAAGAGGTCATGTATTTGTGGGGAACATTCGAAATGTTGAAGGAAGGAAAGGGAGGGAGAAATGGTGTAAATATGTTTTAACATCAAAATATTGAAAAAAAAATAAAGTTCAGGTGCTGTAGACACCAGTGAACATCAGGCTTTCAAACACAGCTCCTCTGCACCAGTGGTTTCCCCCAGGTCGCTGAAGGAAAGGTGGCAGCCAACCCCAACGAGGAGATTTTACGTGGGCTTCACTGCTTGATGCCACCCCAGACTTCCTATAACTGTGGATAGTCCCATTTTGGCTACCTTTAAAATGGATATCTAGGGAACATTGTAGAAAATGAACGAAACCCTTTACAATAATAAACTTTCCTGGGACTAACGTTAGCAAGGGCTGGAACGGGAGCTGGGTCAGTTTCAGCCTCTGCCATTCAGTGTTTGAAGGTCATGATGCCTCCAGGGAAGACTGTGCACAGGAAAACAGAACCGTCTTTATCCTGGAACTACCTGTCTCCCTTTTCATGCTTGAAGCATTAAATAGAAGCTCTTGGGTAACATGCATCATATCTCAAAGTAGGTCTCCATGGAAACTGGTGCAAAGGTATGTGGGTCTGGGCAGTGAGCCTGTAAGATGCTCCCTGAGGACACCCTGATGACACGTTGTCTAATGATGGGACAGCTGCAGAAACGCACAACAAACACAGACCCACTCTTCATATGGTTCCTATGAAACAGGAATTCTGTTCTAGAAGGTTCCTTTACAACATTGGTGCTATTGAAGAACTGAAATAATTCACCAAAAGTACTTAGGACCGTGTTTGGCACACAGTAAACACTCAAAACATGGCTGCTATCACTCTTAAAAAATAGTCAGGAAAATAA